TGCTCTTGGCAATACATAACAACCGGCTGAACATCAGCTTTGCCCGCCAAAGATGAGTGTGCAGAATATTCTGATTTAGAGATCATGATAGCCCTCTGTTCCCTATGATGGGGGAAAAAGACATTTATAACACTACCAAAGTCGCCGTTGAAGAAAATGTAATAGATGAATGCACTGATTGTACTTGCTTATTTGACTCTTTATCACAAGCTGAAGACATCGCTCCACAAAGCTCTGAACCCTAAAAGACAGAAAAGAAACATGAGCATTCACTGATCTGAAAAATAACTTCACTCAAATTACTTCACAGAACAATAGGAAACACTTGAGGGAAGGGGCCTCTCAATCTCATGTAATATACATGTTCTTTTAAATTATGGCTAATATCTGAAGCGTTAGTTTGCACCATTAGTCTTACCATTACTGCAACTTAACCCAGTAAGAAAGTGATTTTTTTATTTTCTACTCCGTAGAAGAGAAGGACCCTAATTCTCCTTTAATCCATACTCTAGGTTCTGGGCTACAGTGCCTAAATGTTATGGGATCTACAAATCCCAAACAGCTACATTTTTTTTTTTTTAAAATAAGATTTTCTTCAGGTACTACTTTACCCTCAGGAATTCCCAGGACTAGCACTTATCCACCAAGTAAATACTTGACCAAACACCTCATACATGTCATGCCCTGAGCTAGGAGAGGAGAATGAGTATAATCAAGACCCATCTCTGCTATATAAAAACTTAAGATGGTTGGGGCAATAGGAAGTAATTAGTACGGCAAGCGTATGTAGGATGTAAATCGGGCAGAGTGTATTATCTTACGAAAGTTAGAAATTTCAATTTTACTTTCAGGAATGTATTACATTAATACATTTGTACATGTACACTAAGAACGAAGGTGCTTCCATTGGATTTAGCTTCAGGAAAGCTGTGGGTGAACTTTGCAGGAGCGGATGTACTATGTCGGGAAAGGAGGTTGCGGGAAGGAGGGCCTTGAGCACTTTACATGTCGATATACCACCGGGGCCAAAGAGATCTCGATGGGGCAAAAATCTCAATGAGGATGAAAGACACACCCAAGTGGAAGGCTTCCTTTTCTCACTGGGATGGCAGAGAAGGATACAATTATAGCTGCTGGGTGAGGGCAGAAAACTGGCTTATGGCAATTGATGGCCCTGCTATCTCCTTAAAAGAGTGCTTTTGCCAGCTCCTGAGACTAAGACTAGAGGATGCAATGTCCCAAGTTTGAGGACAGAGAGTTCAAGGGCACTATAACCTGGCATTAAAGAGTGAACTGGGAAACAGAAGAGAGAGAGAAAACATGAAGAAGAACTGGCACGCTGAGAACATGTCCCAGTTGCCTGGGAGAATTAGAGCCTTGGTTGAGATTATAGGCACCAACTTTTCAGACTCTGAGTTTGCTGAGCAGGGCTCAGGAGCCTTTAGGCAGCTGTTCTCCAAGGTAGGGATTTCCTGGGCAGACAGAACAGAGGAGAGGATACTGACAGGAGAGAAGCTACTGGGGAGGAAGGGAAGAGAGGAGGCTGACAGTGGGGGCCCTAGGTCAGATAACAAGGTACCTTAGAAGCAAGCAGTGGTAGAATACAACAGGCTCAACAAGTTGCTATAAGAGCAACTGACCTAGAGGTTAGAGTCATGAGAACAGGGTAAAACAAATTAGATTGATTTAAAAAAAAGAGTCAAGTGGATGCATAAGGCAGCCAGATTAGCCAACTAATACCCTTCCCAGTTTCCACACAACCTACAAGTGCCATGGTTACCTGGTTCTTGGAAATGCACGCTGGGTCATTTCCTGGATCTGATTTTGATGTTGTCATTTGGTTTACAATCTGAGCATTATGCAGAGGTTCTGATGCTCTAGCTATGAGGGAACACAGGATGAAACAAGGAGAAATAAAATGTAAAGTAAAACGATTCCTCATAATACACTCAGTATGCAGCCTAAGAAATACTCATTCATACTGCCTCAGAAAATCTAACTAAAATATTTTCACATAAGAGATATCATAGGAACCATTTTTTGATCAATTCAAAATGCTCAACAAAGTACAATAAAAATATTTAAAATCTAAGCAGTTATTTTAAATAGGATAATCAATGCTTATTGCTGAAATATGATATTCATTCTCAAGGGCTATTTGGTGGGCATTATTATCAGAGTGTTTTATCTGTTACTTGAGAATGGCACAACTGGATCTTCATTAAACATCAGATGCGGGGCCAGAGGTGGAGTCGTGGTTAAGGGCGCTGATCTCCCACAGCCGACTGAGGTTCGAGACCTGAACCTGGTGGCTTGCTTTCTCACTTTCTCTTTCTCTCTCCTCCCTCGCCACTCTAGTCAAATTAAAATAAATAAATGGATAAAGTTAAACAAAATAAGTCTTTAAAAATAAAAAATGATACATCTCTTTCTGTTTGTTGTTTAAAAAGTAAAAGCAAGCATTGCAAACCAGAGACTAAACTATCAACAATTTAGATATTTTAGAAAGCACTGTTTTACCTTGAACTGGCTCATGGGTTTCAGTGAGACGTGTCTGAAATAACCTAAATAACAGTAGGAAAAGCATCGATAGAGATTATAAATGTAACAATTTAATACATACACGCATGAAAGAGGAAATTAAAACAGACAGCTCATTATATCTTGTCAATTCTGAGGTCAAGAGAAAATACTAAGTTAAATTGCAGAGTTGCTGCAAAGTTAAAAATAAAATTCTGGAAATATCTTCATACCCAATATACTTAGAAAAAATTCCTCCTCTTGCCTAGTTTATGTCAGCATTTCTCAAATGCACAGAACAAATGTGGCTTCTTCCTTTGTATATCAAGTCTGCAAATGCTATAACAGAATATTTGAATTCCTACTTCAGGTATTTTTTACATTTGTAACATAATGAATATAATAATTGGAAAAAAGAAGTGAAAGTACAAAACTGAGATCAGTGCTTCAAATGGCAGACATATTATTGTTCTTGCTCTGATTTTTTTTTTTTTTTTGGAGAGGTTCTTGCTATAGAGCGCGTGTGCTCGCCAGAAAGACAGAGAGACAGAAAGCGAGAAATCACCCCCCAGGGGGGATGGTCACACCGCAATCCCTTCTCCTCCATTCTCCTCTCGGGATCTTGGGCACGCATGCAAACGCGCCCGGCGTGAGTTTTAAGCCACTGGGTCCGGGATGCAAACCGTGGTCAACTATATGGGAGTCCAGTGACATAGCTGTTATGCTAATTGCTGGTCCCCTATTGTTCTTGCTCTGTGAGAACTTCCCCAAAGTGTCATTTCATAGCACCTTTACACATACACTCTACCTGTTGAGTAAAATGCAACTGTCAAGCCTGATTATTTTTGGTAAATGTGAGCAAAATGTGTATCTAAAGAGACTAACAGATATGTAACCAAATGCTAAACCTGGTCTGGCTCTTAATATGGATAAACCAATGGTTCAAAAAATAAAACAGAGCTCAGGACCAGTAGAAGTGTAAGGGTTACTCACTGGACTCCCACATGGCCCCCTGCATTTTGAGTCCTGGACCTGGTGGCTTTAAATGCATGCCAGGCTTGTGTGTGTGCGTGCCAAAAATCCTGAGAGGAGAATGGAGGAGAAGGGATTGTGGCGTGGCCATCCCCCCAGGGGGTGATTTCTTACTTTCTGTGTCTCTTTCTCTCTGTTTCTCCAGCGGGGGCGAGTACATACGCAGTATAGCAAAAATCACTTAAAACCAACAACAACAAAAAACAGAGCTCAGCCACAGTGGCTGCACTAAATATGCTGTGCTCTACAGACTGGGACCACATGGGAGGCTGGGTTCAGTTCCCGATCTGCCATAAAGGCCAGTGTGTTCTTACAATTATGTGTTCTTATAATTCCAGCAACTCCAGAGGCTGAGGCAGGAGGATCACTACAGCAGAGATCCTGTCTAAAGAATAATAAGAATAGATCATTAAAAAAAGTTTTCTTTTTACATGATTTTGAGAAAGACTGAAAATTATATAATCCCAAAGAATTACGGTTGATATTCTTAGATGCATTTATGGAAAAATGTTCTGTAAGAAATACACTTTTCTATGCTAGACTTCGAGGTGAAACATCCTGCTGTCTTAGATCTGCTTTAAAAATCTTCAGCTTAGAGGAAAAAAAACCCAACAAGATCAATGTTAATTATTAAAAGAAGATAGATAAATGGAGGTTCATTACACTAATTTTTTTCTTCATGTACATTTGAAAATACACATAATTAAGTTTTTAAAAAGCACGAGCACTTGGGGCCAGCAAGTGGTGTAACAGTTAAGGCGTTGGACTCCCACATGGCTAGCTGTACTTCGAGTCCCGGACCTGGACCTTGAAACCCATGTTGGGTATGCATGTGTGCCCCAAATCCCAGGAGAATGGAGAAGGGACTGTGGCCATTCCACCGTGGGGGTGATTTCTCACTCCAGTGAATGCACATGCCCTATGGCAAAACCTTTATTTAAAAAAAAAAAAAGAAAGAAAAAAGAATGAGCACTTCAGCAAAGTTAAAGAAAAAGTGAGTATATTAAATGCTATGGCACTGAACCACTAGTCTTGCCATAAACTTGTCATGCTGGGTAAATTTTGTTTGCAAGCTAAATGATGTATAGTGATTGAATGTCTAAAATAATAATAAAATAAGAATTTATTTAAAAAAACATCTTCATATAGCCTTTGACTCAACAGTTTCAATTCTGAGAATTTATCGTAACTAGATAAAAATAGGACATATAATTAAACATACTACTATGATCTACGAAAAAGACCTAGATACAAAGCTGCATTTAGACATAAGGCATGCCTACACTCCCGCAATACGCAAAGAAAAAAAATGTCAATGAAAAGACCAAAACATTTCCTTTGCCTCTTTAGTTTTCTATATTTTTAAAATTCCCTAAGATGTATTACATCACAGAAAAAAAGTTAAAATTGTGAAAAGCAAGGTTCTTAAGATACACATAATATTGTTGTTCCTTATGAAAATCAAAACGTTGTAAACAACTTAAATGTCCAATTGGACAATGGTTAAATTAGAATACAGAGATCTGCAACAGATCTTGTGACCACTTTAGAAGTAGTTTAAAAGTTCTTAATTTCTTCAGAGCAGTATAAAGCTCAGTCTATGTTAACCAGACTTACTGTCTGATTCACTGTTAAAATATGCAAACATAAAGATACACAGAGGCATTGGAAAAGGTACTGGAAGAAAATGCACCAAAATGTTAGTAATATCCTAGGCATTCTCTTTTTCTTTATATTATTATGTATTATCCAAGTTTTCCACAGTGAGACAGAGTTCTCTGTATAAAGAGATACAATAATTTTTTTCAAAGAGATTTTTGCTATAGGGCATGTATGCTCACCAGAGAGACAGAGAAAGACAGAGAAAAAGTGAGAAATCACCCCCCAGGGGGCACAGGCACGCTGCAATCCCTTCTCTTGGGATTTTGGGCATGCATGCATATATGCCCAGCATGAGTTTCAAGCTACTGGGTCTGGGACTTGAACTGTGGTCGGCCACATGGGAATCCAGTGCCCCAACCACTATACCCCTTGCTGGCCCCCGACAATATAATTTTTAAGAGTTGATGTTACATTTCAAAGTAGGAAATACCATGCAAGATTTCATTTGGAAACTACCTGTACTGTTGTTCCAGTAGGTCTCTAGGTTCAGCCTGGTTTTGAATTCCTCTCCGAAAAATGGCACTGGCATGCTGCAGCTCTCCCTGGGCTTCCAGATGCCCCGCCCAGGCTATGTACAGTGGAGATGACCGAGTTCCGATCCCATGGTTGTACAGAAACTCAAAAAACTGATGGAGGTCATTGTTGAACTGAGCCTACAGGAATCCAAAGCAAAAGCCCTAAGAACAATGGAACTGCTAGTCTAGGTCTGGCCCTGTAGGGGAATGCACGTGCGGCTCTCTGCCAGCACACCTAAAGGGGAGACTCATTCCTCTCCTTGACACCCGAAATCCTGCAAATCACCCATAGTTTCCAGAGTTAGTAGGGTTTTAAAATTATATTACATAAAGTATTACTTTTATCCATCTTAATCTCGGCTTTCTTGAGATCCACAGCGTGGCTCTAACTGTGGCACTACACAGTGAGAGAACCAACGCACGTTACCGTATCCACTCCGTTCATAACTTTTTAACTAGAGCTTATTCTCTCCCAAACTTTTATTTCAATTGAAGAGTCCAAACTCAAGCTTACTTGAGACAGCCTTCTCTTTTTAGCAGTAAATTTAGTTTCTGAGAACTAAGATGTTCTTAACTACTCACAATTGACCCCTCGGAACCTTCTTAGTACTGGGAATGTCTACTTATCTTCCTTCCGCCAAACACACTTCCAATGCAACAAACCTTTTTTTTTTTTTTTGGAGAGGTTTTTGCTATAGGGAGCCCGCCAGAGAGACAGAGAGACAGAAAGCGAGAATTCACGCCCCAGGGGGGATGGCCACGCCACAATCTCTTCTCCTCCATTCTCCTCTCGGGATCTTGGGCACGCACGCACACGCGCCTGGTGTGAGTTTAAGCCACTGTGTCCGGGTCTCGAACCACGGTCGACTACATGGGAGTCCAGCGACATAGCCATTATACCATCAGTTGGTTCCCCTCATGTTATAACATGTACAGACTTGCTACACACAAGAGGGTCTTAAAATTTAATAATCACTGACTTCACAATACAGAAGCCGAAGGTTCTAAAATATACATTTCTGGCCATGTAGCTTTTAAAAATTTATGACTAGAGGGGGCTGGCTGGTGGCATGATGGTTAAGGAGTTGTATTCCTACATGGCTAATCATGGTTTGAGTCCCAGACCTGGCAGCTTGCTTTCTCGCTTTCTCTCTCTCTCTGATCAAATTTTAAAAATTAGCAAATAGAATTAAGTAAATAAATCATTTTTAAAAAATCATAAAACATCATGAATAGAAACAAGGATTTAAAATGAAAGGCCAGCCATTGACCCAGCAGTAATGCTAACACCCTACAGTGCTGGAAGCCATGAGGAAACCTCAGTTCAGACCCTGGGTCAGCTTGAAAAACATGCTGGGTGAGTATGCAGTCATTCGGGACCCTAAGGAACCAGAGGGCTGGGGACAGGGGGTCGTGGCATGACGAGCCATGTTGAGGATGCTTTCTCTCTACACCACCCTCCTCTCTCATACTTTCTATCAGAAATAGAAAAGGGAGAAAGAGTCCAAAATGATCTTAAAATGTAGGAAACACATGCAGAAGTACAACAAAATACAGATCTGATCATACATTTGAATGTACACTTACAAATTTTAAACAGTAATTGATGAATCTTGGGTCATTGTGGTATCTCTTCTTATCTAAAAATTCCTTCATTAAATGTTCTAATAAAGTTGTCAAGTATTCTTTATTTGCAGGAAAATTCTCTTCTACCCACTGCATGTAACTAGAAAAACATGAATAATGTTAATTGCCTATAGGGCAGGGTTAGTTTGTTTAAAGGAAAAAAAATGAACCAAATGCTAACCTTTCCCATTCACCAAGTGGGTCATTGCCTTTGTAGCTCTGCATATGGGCTTCAAACATTCTAGAACAGAGAAGAGTGTACACAGGGGATATTAGGAAGAATTCCTAAAAGTAAAACATGTATTTGATGATATATATTATTTCTTTACCTCAAAATAGAAATCTTGAATATTACTCCAAATGCTATATAAAATGTCAGAGAGCATTCATTCAGAAGTGGTCAGAAAGTAGGCTGTTTTTCCAAAAGGAGTTAAGTCCTTAGTTCTATCCCTGAGAGCCTCCTCCTCTCACCGATCCCCAGCATCACCACCATGAAGACTAGCGTCCAACGGTTTGCTGAGCCTCCTACCAGTGGGATCCAGGCGTGGACCTGATTCAGGTCCCTCCCCTTTCCTCCCAGAGGCAGACCAGAGTGCCACAAATGGAGTTTCCGGATACAGTTTATAGTCTGGGCCTCAATGCATCTCAGTCTCCTTGAGGAAGGCCATGATGGCAGAGCTCAGAAGTCAGTCACTACAGCTCCCAGAGAGCTCTGCTTCTCCTTCCACATACCCCATCACAGCTTAATAACAAAAACCCCAAACCCCCCCCCCAAAAAAAAACCAAAACCACATAAGTCAGGTAAAGCCAAGTTCTTCAGGGGAGCTCAGAAGCTAGAGGGGTAAACAAATAAAGGAAACATTTTTTAAAATGTTGGGTTGAAACAACAGGACCAGGGCTGGCAGGTGGCGAGGTGGTTAAGGTGCTGGACAATCCCACATGGCTAACTGCAGAATCCCAGATCTGGTGGCTTGCTTTTCTCACTTTCTCTCTCTCCATCTCTCTCTCCCTCCCTCCCTCGCTTCTCTCTCTTTCTCTCTCTCTCTCTCACACACACACACACACACACTGTCCCTCTCTGGTCAAATAAATAAAATATAAATAAACAAAGTTAAATAAATTAATTTTTAAAAATAACACAGGAGCAATGATTTCTAGACAAGGTTGTCGGGAGCAGCCTGCCTCTCTGAGGGGGAATTTGATCATGGATCATGACAAACGACCATGTATGAGTCTCGGGGGAGAAGGTTAAAGCTGAGAGAACTTCAGGAAGCCACTGGACACTTCCAGGAACAAAAAGAAAACCAGTGTAACTTAAGTACAAAGAGGGGAAAGGTTGTGGGGCATGTGACAAGATCTAATGTACATTTTGAAATGCCTCCTTTGCCCCTCCTTGTGAAGAAGGGGTAGAGGGTAGGAATAGAAGTGGGAAACCAGCTGGGACCAGCAGATGGCGTAATGGTTTCATTGCTGGACTCCCTTGGAGTCTACCGCAGTTTGAGTCCTGGACTGGCAACTTAAACTCATACGAGGTGTGTGTGCGTGCGTGTCCAAGATTCTGGGAGGAGAATGAAGGAGGAAGGATTGCGGCATGGCCATCCCCCCTAGTGGGTGATTTCTCACTTTCTATCTCTCCAGCAAGTGTAGATGCCCTATAGCAAAAATCTCTTTAAAAAAAAAAAAAAAAAAAAAAGTGGGAAACCAGTTAGGAAGGCATTGCAGAGGGAGAGGGTGGTGACTTGGACCAGGGTGGAATAGTGTATGAGAGACAGTTGACGGGCCCTCCTGATGGGACTGCATACTGGGGACCAGAGAGAGTCAAGTTCAGGAAAACTAGGTTTTCTATCAGAGAAATTACAAGATTTTTTTTGGGGGAAAAAAAAATTAAAAGCAATATTTTCTTCTACCCATCGCCACAATGTACAAATTGAAGTCAGTTTCTTAATGTCTTCAAATCCAGAAGCCACAGGAGAAAAGTTAGATGAAGTCAACTAAATAATCAAAAGTGCTTCCAGGAATAAAGATAAAAAGTATCAACTCAGTTTTTAAACATGAACAAAGGGCAGGGCAGCAAGGTAGTGTAGTGGTTAAGGAGTTGGACTCCCATATGGCTGACTGCGGTTCTAGTCCCAGACTTAATGGCTTGAAAATCACTCAAGACGTGTGTGTGTGTGTGTGTGTGTGTGTGTGTGTGTGTGCCCAAAATCCCAAAAGGAGTTTAAAGGAGAAGGGACTAGAGTATGGCCGCCTCCCTACCACCTTCTATGGTGATTTCTTACTTTCTCTCTCTCTGCCTCTCTCAGGCAAGCACATGTGCCCTATGGCAAGAACCTAAAAAAAAAATAATAATAAAAATAAATAAAAAAGAGTAATGGACAAAAAAGCTATTCACAGAAAAATACATGTCTCTCAAACATAAGAAGATATTCAACCCTTCATAAGAAAAAGTCACCTCACTGATTAAAATTCATCCCATCAGATTGAAAAATAAAAATATTGTACACGAGTGTGCAGGTGAAGCAATGCAAAGGAGAAGCAAGAATTCTCACATTGTACATGCAGGTCTGGGTACACTAAATTCCTGCCAAGGGAATCAGCAGCAGCTTCCAAAATCATAGATAGATTTGACTTTTTTTTGTTTTTGAGAGGTTTTTGCCTTAGGGCATGTGCTGGCTGGAGAGACAGATAAGACAGTGAAAGGGAAAGGTGAGAAATATTGCCTTTTGGCAATCTCTTCTCCTCCATTCTCCTCCCGGGATCTTAGGCACTGATCTTGGGCACACACACACACACACAGACAACGCACGTGCCCAGCATGAATTTGAAGCCCCTGGGTCCAGGACTCAAAACACGGTTGGCCATGTGGGAGTCCAGTGACGTAACCGCTATGCCATCTGCTTGTCCCCAGCATGCATGTATTTATTTATTTATTAATATATAGATGGATAGACCTTAAATATATATATATTATATATTATTTATTTATTTAAATATATATCTTATATATAATAGATATATATAAGCTATAAGATGAATATCTTAAATAGATATCTTATATCTATATCTATCTATCTATCTATATATTTTTTAAGAGGTTTTTGCTATAGGGCACGTGCACTTGCCAGAAAGACAGAGAGAGACAGAGAGACAGAAAGCGAGAAATCACCCACCGGGGGCGACGGCCACGCCGCAATCCCTTCTCCTCCATTCTCCTCTCGGGATCTTGGGCACACATGCACATGTGCCTGGGTGAGTTTAAGCTACTGGGTCTGGGACTCAACCCAGGTTGACTACATGGGAGTCCAGCAACATAGTCATTATGCCAACTACTGGTCTCAATATATTTAAAAACACTTGCAGGGACTAGCAGATGGTATAATGGTTACATTGCTAGATTTTCATGTAGTTGACCACGGTTGGAGTCCCAGACCCAGTGGCTTAAAATCACACCGAGTGCATGTGCGTGTATGTCCAAGATCTCCAGAGAATGGAGAAAGGATTGTGGTGTGGCATCCCCGTTGGGGGGTTATTTCTCAATTTCTGTCTATCTCATTTTGTGTGCCCATGAGGGCACATGCCTTGTAGCAAAAATATCTTAAAAACAAACACAAAAAACTTTGCAAAATAAACTTGGAAATATGGTTACATATGACAGTGTGGGTGAGTACACAAGTATAGGAGTTCTCAGTGAATACTTTTCTAAATCTTTTAAACATGTAAGTGTATTATTTATTTTTAAAACAAAAAAGATAATGACTTCTAAGCTTTTTTTTTTTTTTTTGAGAGGTTTTAGCTATAGGGCGCGTGCGCTCGCCAGACAGACAGAGAGACAGAAAGTGAGAAATCACCCCCCAGGGGGGATGGTCACGCCGCAATCCCTTCTCCTCCATTCTCCTCTCGGGATCTTGGGCACGCACACACACGAACCCGGCGTGAGTTCTAAGTCACCGGGTCCAGGACGCGAACCGCGGTGGACTACATGGGAATCCAGCAACATAGCCATTACGCTAATTGCTGGTTCCCATGACTTCTAAGCTTTGAATCTTTCTTGTGTCTCATAGCAAAGGGATAAATGTGTCAAACCCTTTCCCCCAACATATTTGTAATAGGCTGGCCCAAGGTAAGCTTCTCTCATCTTAACACTAAGCACATTTCTCTAGTAAAATGACCTAAATGCAGCAAATTAACACCAGAATACCCAGTTCATTAAAACAAATGAATCTTTAGAAAGTCAAAACAAGATCAGAAATGCCTGATTTCCCTTTAAAAATGGGGAGGAGAGGAGCTTCCAAAAGAAAACAGTTTGCTAGCTAGATTGAAGGTTAAAGTAAAAGTTTTAAAGCAAATAGATTTAACAATCTGTCTTCTGATCCCAAAGAGCTGATAAAAATCATTTTACTCCCAGCCACATACGACCTAATCGTTTTAAATGCTTTTTAATCACACTCTGGGTAAGTTACCTACATCATAAAACAAAGGAGTGAGAACTTCAAAGACTGTTAGTTGGTTGGCATAAAGAAATGACTCCACGTTAAGCAAGGCTTTTTTGTGTGCGTGTGTGAGCACTGTATTCAAAAACTTAAGAGTGACAGTGGTATTACCGGTAAGGGCAATTT